GCTGGCCAGTTCAGTACTCTCCATTTCTTTGTCCTAAACCATTTCTCGGTTTGAACTTCAGCAAGTCATCTTCGCCATGTCTATGTGACTGGCTGATTAGCAATTTGTGTTGCCAAGCTTTTGAACAGGTATACCTAATAAAGTGGCTAGTGAGTGTATGTATCCCAACTATCTCCATAACTACTAATCATTATTGATCCACCTAGAATACAGAAAGAATCTTTTGAAAGTATTGTTTTACTTTTTTACCCATAGCAAATTTGTTGTGTCTCATTTTGTCAGTTATATTTAGTTGCCTCTTTTCTTTTTTGCAGCACTTCATGCTGGACTCCAAATTTTACTTGTTGCCATTAATGATCTGCAACAACATAGGACTTCAAATTTCACTAGTTGCCATGAATGCTCTGGTCATAGGACCCAGGTGTCAACATACAAAATGGTTGCAAAAATCCCCCTAATCTGGTAATGATTAGTCATGGATAAGTCTAGCTCAGCAAAGGTCACCTCACGAAAGATGTGTGCAAGCAATCCATGCTGAAACAAGCCAAAAATATGTGAATATATACCTTTTAATCCCTTAATTCAAGTGGCAATGTGACTACTTTTCAGCTCCTACGCTCTACAGGGCCTAGGTTATGGACAGGCATGTGCCCCCAGACAGCTGTACACTGTAATGGCAAGTTTCCTGGATGAACTCTGGTCTACTCTGTTCCACCCAGTGACATCAGCATAGTAAGTCAAGTAGGGTAGGGGCACGGGAGCACCCAGTGTAGTTCCTTGGATTGGTCACAGGGTATCACTATGGTTAGCTGTGAGAGTAGGTTCAGGAACCACTTATAGTGATTAGATAGTATAGTCTCTAAGAGTAGCAGTAGGGTGAGATCCTAGGAAGGACCAGCTCAACCCATGCCAGTGTGGTGAATCTTGGGAAGTAGTGCTCAGATATAATTAGTCTTGGTGGAAGCCTGCCCGGGGTCATCATTGGAAGTTTCAGAAGGACCAAGCAGCAAGGATGTAGGCTATGAGGCCCTGTCTGCTCGACTTCCCCTAAGGGCGAAGCAAAAGGGGAAGATTGCAGAACTATTGAGATTGCTTGCATCCCTTTGAATGGTTGCATGGGATGCAACAGCCCCCCCCCTTCCCATAAAAGGTATGGGATCTTTGACTTTTCACTTTTGGCTCTCCTCTCACTAATGTTCTCTCTATTGTTTGCAACCTTAAGGGATGTATTGTCACTGCTGGGATGACTGAAAGGATGTACATACTGTATGTGATTAACTGCATGCAGTAAACAGTTAAAAGACGTCCGTTTTCTGGACGCTTCCTTTTTCTCAGGATGGGAACGTCCTCTGGAAACAGATGGTGCTGGGTGAGACTGCTCATGGAGTCCATTGCTGTAAGGCCTAAACCAGGTATGGAACAGACTACTGCTGGTTAGGCTAGGATAGGAGCCTCACAGAGTGTGCTTGGCAGGTTACAAAGGGTACCCTGGTTGGGTTTTGGTGCATAGTACACTGGTAGGACTAGGGGAACAAGCCTTTGTTCGGGCAGGAATAAATAAAAGAGTGCACATGCTCCCCCAGCACATGCTTAGTTGTACTTGAGGAGAAAATGCATTCCTAGAACATGGCTCCCATTAATTACGGCCACACAATAAGACGGCTCTGGTTTCTTTTGTCAATAAAATGTTCTGTTCCGCCCATAGGTATGGTTTTAGTTTCTGCTGTCAATCACATGCTTTGGTATTCCAACCAGGAACAGCAGCTTACTGGCAGGATCAACAAGTATTTTCATGAAAAAGTAATTTTACTAAAATAAAAGGCACACATTGTTTTAAACATTTCATTTGGAGAATTCTGATGTGTTTTTTTTTTTTTGGGGGGGGGGGGGGGGGGGGTTAGAACCATTTCAAGGCCACCCACATGCAATCCGAATCAAATAAAAAAGTAAGATTTATTAAAATGTAAGCACACAACTTGAAATGTGTGATTACATGTGTGAGTTTTTTGTATTTGACACATAAGCAGATCAAAGAACTTTACTCCAAATACCTATGCAAATACTAGTCCTGTTTCACTTTGTTTGCACACACACACCCTAATGGCACCAGCTTCAAATTTTCCTTTCATTCCTAGGATCCTAAGATGAAAAAGCTGTATGATTTACCACAAAAAGATACAAACCAGCAAAACCCAGGTGGAACTTCAGAGTGATATGCAAGCCCCCCACACTTCTTTCTCCATTCTAGTACCCTGATTCTAATGTCCTGGTAACTGATCCTTAGCCAGATCTCACCTACAAATCTGTGTTACACATTCTATTCAGGCTTGGTTTGTCTAACCTGCAAGCTGTTACTAGTAAGGCCATCCTTGGATTTCCACTCTGGACATGCTCGTTGCACAAGCTCTAAACTGATAAAGAGCAGTCACCACTGGTAAAGAGTGGGTACTAATAGAGTCAGCATCCATGGCAAGAGCCTTTCACTGTGATCTCAGTAACGGATCCATCAGGAATGATCAAAGCTGTGTAGAAGGAAGTATTTCTTAATATTAGTTAGTACTGGATATGTCCAAAATCTTATTTCCCTATTTTAAATGTACTATGACATGCCAAATTTGTCCCAATGACAAATGAGGCTCACACAATGGAAAAGAGTCCCAACTTAAGAGGGTTGTTACATTCTATATTTTAGGGATGATGGCACTATCCAGCACCACACTAATATTCATTGTTAAATGGACTGTAGTGGGTTTCTGCAAACTGGGAAACGCACTGAAAAATGCATGTGTAAATCTAGGGTTAGAGCTTTGTAAATTAAGCCTCTAGTTAGTTTTCGAAATCAGTGTAGGACAGAAATATCAGTGTTGAGTATAGTTGGTCTCTAAATTCTCTCAGTCAACATTAACCACTTGCCCTCAAGAGGATTTAGCTAGCTTCCTGACCAGGCCATTTTTTGCGTTTTGGCACTGCGTTACTTTAACTGACAATTGCAAGGTCATGCAACGCTGCACCCAAATGAAATTTACATCCTTTTTTACCAGAAAATAGAGCTTTCTTTCGGTGGAATTTTATCACCTGTGCGTTTTTTTTTTTTTTTTTTTTTGCGCTATAAACAAAAAAAGACCGAAAATTTAAAAAATAACAATATTTTTTACTTTCGGCTATAAAAATTATATAGTAAACTAAAAGTTAGTCATAAATTTAGGCCAAAATGTATTCTACTACATGTCTTTGGTAAAAAAAAATCCCAATAAGTGCATATTGACTGCTTTGTGTGAAAATTATAGCGTCTACAAACTATGGTATAGATACTGCAATTTACGACATTTTTTTTTTTTTTTTTGCTATACAGCGCTGCACTAGTTTAACTGACAATTGCTTGTTTAACCTCCCTAGCGGTATGATTATTTCAGATTTTTGGTGCTGAAAGCGGTACTTTTTTTGCATGGAAATATGTATTTCTTTTTATTGTAGGCATGTAATTTAGGAATAACTCACTGAAATCTGTACGAACAAGAGTCTAGTAAACATTCCGGATATGATAAAACTTGAAACACAAAATCATAAATTATAATTTAATAAATAATCCTAAAAAATAATAATATAATAATAATAAATTTAATTAAATAATATAATCAAACCAAAAACACAGAAATTTGAAATATTGCGCCAAGTTCGCACATCGCTGAGCAAAGTCGCAGAATCGTTTTCAGTGTCTGATGACGAATTTTCCCCACAAATCATTATCATTCAATTCTGCAAGTGGTTCTGATTTACTATCGCTGTTCTCTAGCTGGTCTAAAACTGCTTTTGACATAAAGGGACGCTTTTTGGACACCATGGACATTTCTAAGTTTCCAGGCAGAAAGAACAGTCAAAATGCAGGCAGGGGACAGGACAAAGCAGTAGGGGCAAAATGTATGTGAAATGTAAAATGTAATAATCATTTTTTTAAAAATGACATTTTTTTAAAAAATTTCAAATTTGCCACCGGTTCCGGCGCCCGTACGTCCCGACGTCACAGGTACCGGAACACAGAAGCCGGATGCCGGCATCGGCCAGAGGAGATGGCCGGGGACGCTGCAGGGGACGCATCGCGGGAGCGAAGGACAAGGTAAGCGCTGCAGGGACTCCCTATGCAACTCTGCATGGTAAGCCCGAGTGTAGCTCGGGCTTACCGCTTGTGCTACTGAAACTTTACCCCGAGCTACACTCGGGAATACCGCCAGGGTGGTAAATTGACAATTTTGAAAAAAAAAATACATATTTTGATTTGTTTCTATTGAACATATCCAATAAAAAAATTTTAAAAATGAAATTTCATCATAAATGTAGGGCAAAATGTATTCTGCTACATGTCTTTGCTAAAACAAATTTATTATTTATTTCAGGTACTTATATAGCGCCGTCAATTTACGCAGCGATTTACACATATATATTGAACATTCACATCAGTCCCTAACCCTCAAGGGGCGTACAATCTAAGGTCCCTAACTCACATTCATACATACACATACTAGGGCCAATTTAGACAGAATCCAATTAACCTACCAGCATGTCTTTGGAGTGTAGGAGGAAACCGGAGTACCCGGAGGAAACCCACGCAAGTACAGGGAGAACATGCCATCTCCATGCAGGAGGCGCCATGGCCGGGAATTTAACCCATAACCCATTTACTACAAGGCCAGGGGTGGACTGACCATTTGGAAACTCGGGCACTGCCCGAGGGCCCTGGGTCAGTAGGGGGCCCCATGAGATGCCCCTGGTACCTTTTTCATAGGCTTTTTTGAGTTTGGGAAAGGACACATGATCCCCTATTGCCCGGGGGCCCCATGAGTTGTCAGTCCGCCCCTGTGCAAGGCAGACGTGCTAACCAAATCCCAATACATGTAAATTAATTGGTTTATGTGAAAGTTATAGCGTCTACAAATGTCGGTATATATACTGGAATTTTTTTTTTTTACTAGTAATGGCAGTGATCAGCGACTTATAGTGGGACTGCAGGACTGGGGCAGGCATTCTGACACTGGGGGGAACTGACTTGGTGTCACTGACATGCCCAGTGACACTAATACACTGTCAGTACTAATAAAAAACACTGATGCTGTACTAGTGACACTGGGCAGAAAGGGGTTAACATCTGGGGCTATGCAGAGTCATACAAAGCAGTGTGCAGGAGCTGACAGGGGAGAGAATTGTATTGTTTACATACAGTTCTCTCCCCCATCGGTAATACTTGGCGATCACCAGGTGTCGGCGAGTAATCACTGGCCGGGAACCGGTGATTGACAGTCAAGGCCACGAATGGCGGCGCGGGTAGGGCGGATCACGCGTGCCCCATAGCCAGAACTGCAAAATCACGTATTTATACATGATTTTTTTGCACCCGTGCCAACCTGTACCAGTATTTCTGCTGTAGGGTAGATGGGAAGCAATTAATACATTTTAATCTCTATGTAACTAGCCTTAGTAAATAGATAGGAAGGTAAAGTATATTAGATTCACTTATTTTAAACTGTTTTATACATTTGTTCAGTTGCTTCCTGGTTTCTGGCCTAGTTCAAAATGATGTCATACATCCCAGGAGTCTTCATGGGCATTTTATTTCCTTCATCTGGAGGGGAGGAGGAAGGCATCTTTCAGGTAAGCACATTCCAGGAAGTAAATACAACATGAATCATCTGCTCTTATGCACGATGGACATGACCAGCAATGTTAGGGGATGTTTTTCAAAGTGATTTCTCACAAAACTGCTTTTGAATATTAAAAATCATTCAGTTTGTGGTGCTCAGATACAGTTTAGTCCCACTTTAAGTGTTCTTCACATTTCAGAAATATACTCTATTTATATTCTTTGTTCGCAGGATACAACATGTATACTTCCAATGTCACCACAAAATCACCTTTCAGTCAGCTGCTACAATGCTGCACTGTCAGTACATCTTGTATATAAGGATGATGGCTGCTGACAAGCAACAAACACAATCTCAGTTTACTGACAGCGAGAGGATGATCGTAGGGAGACTTTAAACTGTGTGTATCAAGCTGCAAATACAAAACTGGAAAACAAACTATGTAAATTTACTAAAAAGTGGTCTCAGGTTTTCATTTGTTTACTTTCCTGAAATTGAAGTACTTAATTAAAGTGTTAAACAGCCACGTAATTGAATAATTTAATCATTCTGTCTACTTCCTTTGGAATATGTGAAAATGGCGTTATTGTCTGTCACATATTTGGCTGGTTATACAACCCTTCCAATCATGTTGAGGTCAAGGACGGCCTATGTCCCATTTGGCCTTCAGAGCTAGGATGATGTTGCGAATCAGATGAAGGACTGATGAAAGGAAAACAGTTTTGGTGAAAGCCTTTCTGCTAAAAACACTTGGAAGGTGTGAGCGCTCCCTTCTTCAATCAATCCCCTACTGTGAACAGCAAACAGAAGATGAGAAAGCCGCCATGCTGTTATTATGCCTCCTAAAGCATCACAACAAACACAGCATGCTGTTCTGCATTAGTGAATAATGCATGCTGCCAATTACTGACTGAAAAGACACTTGTCACAAAGCAATGACCTAAAAATGTAATGCTATCTAATTAAGTTACTGTTGCCTCATTGGCCAAAAAACGCTTAATTATTTACTTGGGCTGGTGATGGTAGTTGGTTGACACAGCAAACAAGTAATTTTGGTGGATTAATGCAATCATTATTTCACTGTGTACAGGGTGGGTTCAACCACAGTAGATACTATAACATTTGTAAATACCCCACGGATTGGAAAGTTTGAGCTGATGTGATTATTCTATGCTTAGAGTGGGTGGGGTGCTGCTTTGGTGCAAAGTGATATAAATCAAATGTTAGAAACACTTTAAGAACAGGAATTGAACGTGAACATTATCATTTGTTTTTTTTCGTGCAAAGCCTGATCATCCACAAGCAGGGCCGTGGATAAGGGGGTACCAGCAGTCCTCCTGTACGGGGCCCAGGCCAACAGAGGGGCCCAGACAGCTGGGTAAATTGGATGTGGGCAGGGAGGGTGATCGGTACAGTGGGGGGGAGGGGTAATTACTGGAACCAATCCCCAATATGGCTCTTTCTGCAGCAGATGGAAGCTGGCTTCTTTTCCTCTCTCTCCCACTGGCTTTCAGATGCTGCAGAGAAAACCATACAGGGGATCGGTTCCAGTAATTGCTCCCCGCTGTACCCATCACCCTCCCTGAGAACCATGTTTCCCCCTGCTGCCCAGGTCCCCCTGTGTGCCCCCAACTCCGCAGTGCTGCCGGCTTATCTCCTCTGCTTCCCACCAGCAGCTGCCAGCACACAATATAAATGTTCGGGAAGGAGAATGGAGGAAGAGTCTGGTAAATATGTCACATTTACCAGCCCCTTCCTTCCCTGAATGAACGCAGTGAGTGATTGGTAACGATCACTCACTGTGTTCATAACTGAAGCTTAGTAAACTGTTTTTTTTTGGGGGTGGGGTCCCTGCCAGGTTGGCTGTATGGGGCCCCATGGTTTCTAACAGCAGCCCTGTCCACAAGTAACCTAGGCAGAAGTCTAGGGCCCAGTGGAAGTACAGGGGACCAGCTACAACCTTTAGGCTCCTGCAGTAAACCAATGATAGCACTTGGTCAAAGCTGTGCACCTGCCTGCTACTTCACAAGGGGGATTTATCTGTAGGCAGTTAGGGGATGATTTACTAAAACTGGAGAGTGCAAAATCTGATGCAACTCTACATATAAACTAATCAGCTTTCAGATTTTTGTTTTGTCAAAGCTTAATTGAACAAGCTGAAGTTAGAAGCTGATTGGCTACCAAGCACAGCTGCACAAGATTTTGCACTCTTAGTAAATCAGTCACTTGGGGGTTTATTTACTAAAGCTGGAGAGTCCAAAATCAGACTCCCTTCTGCATAGAAACCAATCAGCTTCCAGGTTTCATAGCCAAAGCTTCATTGAACAAGCTGAGATTAGAAGCTGATTGGTTTCTATGCAGAAGGGAGTCTGATTTTGGACTCTCCAGCTTTAGTAAATAAACCCCTTGGTGTCTGATGGCAACTGCCATAATAAGTTGGATATAGTAGCTAGATATAGTAGAATATCTCTTGGGAATGTAAAATAATGAAAGGGAACGTCAGAGAGATATATACTTTTGTCTATACACAGACAAAAAAAGTAAAAAAAAAAATCTAAAATAAAAAAAAAAAAAAAAGCTACTAACAAACAACCCCCCCCCCCAAAGGAAAAACAAAAAAACAAAAACGGGCAGACTCGATGGACCACTCAATCTTTATGTGCTGTCACTTTTCTATGTTTCTTTGTATGTGTAATTTCACTTTTTGAATTGTGTATGATAGTATACTTTCTATATCCACATAAAGATCATGCCAGTCTGTGTTTTGTTGGACCAATGTACTGCCTTTCTTTCTATTTTTTATATTGTTTGGTTAAAGAAAAAAAAATTTAAAGGTTTTAACTCGCTTAAAGGTTAGAAGTGAGCACTTTGTGTTGAAGCCTTTTCAAATACACCAATTAAATGCTAGAGGTTCTTTTACTACAAGAGGGAATAGTAGATACTTTAGGATGCCAGTTAGAGGGAGAAGTGAAGAAATTAGATTTCCAAAATATATTATTGAGTCCTAGACCTTCAGGGAAAGAAGAAGACAGCGGTTCAGGCCAGTTCGTCAGAGGTTTGGTGGGATCCAGATGAATTTTCTGTCTCATCTGGATCCCACTAAACCTCTGAAGGACTGGCCTGAACCACTTTCTTCTTCATTCCTTAAAGGTCTAGGTCTATATTTTGGAAACACTACAAGATTTTCAGATGTGAAAGTGCTGGCAAGTTTCGTGTTGAAAACAAAAGTGATGTAGAATTCTTTTGTGTCCGCTGTGTGATGAGACACCTAGCTAACAGGTGGGAAGCCTCACTTTCGTCATTCACTGCGTGCGCTGCTAGTGATAAGGAGTCATGTCATAGCTTACTGAACTTCAAAGAGGACAAATTGTTGGTGCCCGCTTAGCTGGTGTCTCTGTGACAGAAGTTTCCAATTTATTTGCCGTGTTGCAAGGTACAATATCAGAGGTTATGACGGCATATACAGTTTCCAGGAAAATGTCATCTGATAAGCATAAGCACAGTTGACATGGTCAACTGACCAAAAGAGACAAAAGGACATTGTGCAGGATTGTAACCTGGAATAAAAAAAAATGCAGCAAAAATGACTGCAACGCTTAATCTCAGTCTTCACGGGACTGAGATTGCGCTCTACAGTCATTTTTGCAGCAGTTGTTTTCATAACCTTTGATATCATACCTTAAGGGTGTGAATGTATTCTGATCTCTTTAGTTAATTGGCCTAAATGTGCATTTGTTCTGGAAACTAAAATTGAAGCAAATAATTTGACATAAATGCATAATAGAGATATTGATCTAAAGTTTGACAAAAGTTGGGGATTTTTTGAGGGTTTGGGTGTCATTACTATGTGGGCCTTGAGCAAATATGAAGAAAGTGTTTTGGCATCATTGAAAAATCTGGTTAAGTGTGGTGCTAGCACATCTCTTTTTTTAGATAAGGAAGGATAACTCGCCTGGGCTCTGTCACTTTTCAATTTTCAAAGACTTGACAGCTTGTTTCACTTCAGTGATGGTGACATCTGCTTCTAAGGTAAAGTGAAATACTTTGAGCAAGTTGGGAAGTGTAATGTTCTTGAAAAACTTGTTTATGAATGATGTATTTAGTACTTGTGGTGTGGAATATAGTTTAGCCAAATTTGTCCAACAGGTCTGTAAAATTTGAATAGGGTTACTTGTGTAAGTAATGCAGGTTTTGAGGTGTATTGATGTTATTTGGGGTTAAAGCAACTTTGTTTGTGTGCATTGTATTTTATAGAATCTATGTTTGGACCATCTTAAATGGTTTTCAGCTACATCAGTTAAACAGATGTTAAAGTCAGTTCTAATGTTTTCCAGTTGTTGAAGGTTGTCCTTGGTTGAGTTGCATTTAAAGGCATTTGTTGTGGTGGCAAGTTCTGTTTCAGGTTTAGTTATACGTGCAGTTTTTTGTTTTTTCTTTTGAGCTGCATTCTGAACTACAGTATATGATCCTGCACGACAGCGGTGACTGAGGAAGTTGAGGTATCATTTCAGAGGAGATAGTCCTCAAAAGGACATTAGTGAATCCCTGAGAGACCATGAGGAGGGTTTAAAGTGGGTTAA